TGTTTATAAAATTCGGTTTACGTCTTGAGTTTTGAGTCTGGAACGTTTCCTGTCCTTGGAACTGTCTTTGTTGAGGTTGAAAACTTCGTTGTTGTTGTGGACGGCTTACAAAAGTTGGTTCTCTCGAGTTGATTTGAGGTTGTGGAAATCCTTGCGGRAAATTTCGCTGTGACATAAATTGTGGTGTGCGGCTGACCTGTGGAATTGGTTTTTGAGGCAGATTTCGCTCGGACCTTAGTTTTCGTTGGTAACCAAAATAAGGATTATACTTAAACCTAAAATACTTTAGATAAGCTACCTCGTCTGTTAAAAGCTTATTGCAAAAATATCTATCGAAACTAGTCACTCTGGGGTTTAGCTGAAGCTTTGTAACCTCCTTAGTGAGTCTAAATGCTTTTTCTTTTGCCATTACCGGCGAGATACAATCTTGTTGAACTCGACTATTTTTTGCTCTAAATTCTTCTAAGTCTCTGTAGAATTCATTGCCATGACTTTTTATCTTATTCCAGAATGTATTATTGAAGTGTCGATATAAAAGGACATCAGCTCCATTCCAACGTTCGATCATTCTTTTTAAATCGCTATCAATGTGTTCCTTCTTGACTCGATGTCTTTGATTGAACTTTGCATACACAATGTCTTCCAAGTCCCAACACATTTCACGTTTAAGAAGAACTAAACTTTCATCAAAATACTCCATGATTAAAACCAAGGAAAATTCTCGATCAATCTTTTCTATTTCTTTTAAGACAAGCGTCCTGTTGTCATAGCTACGAGGGTTAAGACCCAAATCAAAAAACTGACCATTTCTTATCAAATGCATCGACTCAGGAAACATCTGGAGTTTCATAGTCATGTTACGAATATACTGAAAAGGTCTTCTTAAGAATCGACGCATTGGGTTCGTTGTGTTTTGAAGCCCAAAAAACTTGCTGAATTCCATGTAATCAAACATCGATTCAAATTGCTGTATAGGGTTTCGCAGAATTGTTACGTATTTTGCATCAAGCTCCATAACAGCGTCCATGGATTCTCTAACGTAACGAGCATGATTGCATAAAATGTTAGCATAGTTATCATCCAGTAAAAACAGATCAACGTACGTCCAATGAAAAGGCAGAGGCCAACGAAATCTATTGAAGCCGACAACTGGCAATGCTACTGTAAGTTCCCGAAGATCAGCAAATCGATTAAAGATATTTGTCAGCGTGCTGCTGCCTGTTTTATGCGTTTTAAGGAATACAATGTTTTGTTGGGGGGTACACCTGAAAGACACACAAAACTCAYGATAAATAGTTGTCAATTAATGAAAATTACGAAATGGAGTGCAATAATTGCAACACAGGAACCCCACCCCTAGCATACTTCGCCTTGTATAGAGAAAAGGAAAAAAATAAATATAGATACATAAAAAGTCGTACCTTTCTAAGTTGTCATCCCATACTTTTTCTGTACTCTCGTCATCTTCAACGCCATCAGCGCTTGCGTTTCTTAATACAAGTTTTCTTAAAAGTTCTTGAATATCATGAAGTTTTTGTTCACTGTCTTTGATAAATTCATCTCTAGCTAAGGCAACGTTACTGTCTGGTCTAAAAGTGAAGCAAAATATCACAGTTTAGTCGTTTGAATTTTTCTATTAAAGGACCAGTGAACAGTGCTCGCAATGCAGCTTTGACACTAAAGAAGGAAATTGCAACGATCATATGCATGATATAGAATTCAAAGGGTGTTTACATGTACAGTTACCGGGTTACTAGCAAACCCTTACTAAATAAAATACCTGCCAGGGTATAATCTTTCAGTGAGCTCTTATATAAGACACGGGATATGCATATAGCATAAAAAGAATACTTGAATAAATTAAGCTGATTCCAAATTTGATATAACTTTGGATCTTAATCGCACTAATTTTCGCGAGTTGTTAATTTCGCGATTTGGTAAAAAATCACGAAACTAAACACTCGAAAAAAACGTTTACGCAAAGTACGCATATATTTAAGCGGTGATTTGGCAAAAACGAGAAAAATAATACTTAGATATATATGGCTGTCCCGATTTTTTTGCTAATTTAAATTCACGTGAAAATTAGAACGAATAACGTAAAGATCTTTTTTGCCAGTAAACCAAGGCGGACATCATGTTTTACTGCAGCCCTCAAATGAACAACATTGCCAAGTCATGTCAAATAAAATCATGACTTTTTAACATCAAAATTTATTTGTATAACACTGCAAAAGTAAGCAAGCTCCAAAGCAATAATTTTTTGGTCCCCGATTCAGTCTCAATTTGGTGCAAAACCACAGAATCCTCGCGCAACTTGTTTAACCGCGAAAAGGGCTATTGGTATAACAGATGGACTGTAAGTAGGCTTACCAAAGACATAAATTGAAATTTCACGCTTATGGTGAAAAAAGCAGAATAGAAAACTGGATATCAGCCATTCTCCTCCCTTCGCCGTTTTTGTCTGGACTACATCTCGATTCTTCTACTAGTTGAAGAAGTCCTTTGTTAAAATCCGTCAAATATGTATAATCTTTTCTCTCGAAAGCGTGTTATTTACTCGTGAAAGAAAATTCTCTTGTAAACATCAGCCAACAAATGTACACGAGAATCAACGTACATTGTAACAGTGAAAATGACTTTATGTCATTTTTAGTCACTCAAGCCTATTGACTTTGTTGCGCATTTATATCTTTTAAACTTTAAATTCTTATATCAAGGCACTAATTTATTTTCAAATCAAAAATATAAAGGCACTAATTTATTTTCAAATCAAAAACAATTCCTTGTTGATAAATATAAGTTTAATTGCCAATAGATATTCCTTACCTTAAGAAATCTTCAATTCGCTTTGTATATCTTTTAAATGTTTTTTGTGAATGTGTGAAACGAACATATGCCCATAGGTTTGAATCAAAGATGGCCAGAATCAGAAAACACAGCACACTGGATAACAATAGCAGAATGAAGTATCTACGGACTCTCATCTTTGAAAACTGTTGTGAATCATCTAAAGGCCAGGCAAGCATTCACTGAAATGCAAATTTAACCCATGTAAATAAAAGSGGCAAATAGAACGAGAAATGTCCTATAAATTAGAGATTTTGAATACTAATTAAGGAAGCTATATAAAATAGGATAGCACCAGTTCTCCGATCAGCCAACCATGTGCTCGTTCTTTGCACCAAGGTAACTGGTAKTGCTGGTTGATTTGTAAAGATTCGCTTTCAACAAAAAGCTCTTGATAATTGATTGTTTTACCTTGACGAAAAATACGTTTTAGATTAAAAACTATAAATCTTCACTGGCAAAGTACAATTGGAGTAAAAAAATACAGACATAAAATGCAAAAAACGCAACCACTTGATAACCAGTATGCGGTCATTCAATAGATATTAACTAAAAGTCTTTCATAACGGCAACAATCAAACATTCATTTAGCAACTTATATTTGTGTACCTCTCCGGTCTTTCGTCACATTTAGATTTCAAATAATGAGGAATTTGTTTTTTYATATCGGGTTGGTGAAGGGAAAAACTCCAACAAATGTACACCATACAAAATGTATATCTTAATTAACCAATGAAATTTTCGCATGTATTTCTTTCTTTTTTGCTGTGGTTTTGCATCGATAAGAATTATTATTATATGACTTATATAGTACGCGCGCTCTGATTGGCTGAAAACTGGTCCGTGAAATCGCGTATCCAGACCTCGGGTCCGTCTTTTTCGGTATCCGGACCCGGCGGAAATTGCTAATTTGATGGTCGTGCAGTAAGTTGGATCGAGGGAATCAAGACAACTTTGTTTATCAGAKTTGAGACTATCTTTGCAATAAAAAAATTCAAACAAAATCCATTTTTTTAATGATCTGAAAGAAACATGATTCAATTTCAACTACTCCCGCCTTTTTGTCCGCGCTCGCGTCTTAGCACTTGACTTTCCCGCTCTTTTCCGAGTTAACCGTACAGTTGTTTTCAATGCCAACKGCATCAATCCAGCTTAGAAATGCTCGATAAGTATTCACCACAATTTAAAGATAGCCCAAAAAGGATCATATTGGAAGAAAAACTCAATGAAGTTGTAATTAAGCTCAAAAGAAGCCAGAACATAAATCCACAAACTACTCAAAACAAAAGTGAAAAGCCGAAGGGATTCAAACCGGTGTCTTGGCAAGAATGAAATCCTCCTCTTATAAAGACAACTTTCCTCGATTCAATGACTTCTCAGTTGCTGGAAAACAAAGAAAATTGTAATTCTATATTGGAGACATCCACTTCGAAGAAGTAAGCAAATCTACACCGGCGGCCGCGACGAAAATTTGTGAACTATAATCCGTAGTAATAATGTATTTGTGTAWGAAAATAAACTGAATCCTATGAAACAAGGAGCCAAAATCCCCGTCTTTTTAGCCGACAATTACTGAAAATATGATAATTTCTTTGTCATTTTACTCATATCGTGAGATATTGGAGAAAAGCGTTGCCATCAGATAGAGGGAGGCAACGGGTTGCAAGTTGACCGGTGATAGTTTTCCTACATACTTTGAGTAATTCGTCTACATAATCTACGATGTAAAAGTCATATAATAAACGAGTTATTAACCTCGCTTGCTCGATCTGTACGGGAAAATATCAGACCTCGGTCTTTTATGTACGGACTTCGCTGCGCTCGGTCCGTACTGTCAAGCCCTCGGTCTGATATTTTCCCAGGTCTGTTAATAACCTCTTAATACATTTTAAAGTGAAGATTCTCCAAGCAAATTCTCTGGGGAGAGGCATAATTCAAAGATTTACTGAAGCTAGCTACATTTTAGTAAGCTAAAAACTTTGAATAGCCGATTTGCGTTATGGCGTCCTTTACTACAACTACCAGAATGCTTTGCCAACTTTCTTTTGTAGTGCAATTAGTGCTAATTGTTTTATTAATCTCCAAGGGGATTAAAAACCTGAATAACAATGAAAATGCGCAAGACTCTCTAGTTGTTGTAGTAAAGTTACGCCATAATGCATATRGCATATTGTAATCTACAACAGTAATTCGCCTCAAAAAAGTTTTGGGCTTCCTGTGCTAAGTATGCCGGTTCAATGGTTGTTAAAAATAACTCCTTACAAACTCGTTGTTTGMGCTAGATGCCTAAACGAGCTATAGTTTGTAATGTCTCGATTCTTTCATTTTGAAACATTTCGTTTAATCGTTAAAACGTTTTTAAATTTATGTTCAACTGATGAAATACTTGGCGAGTTAGCGAGAAGCCATGCTGGTACGTAAAATCATAGTTAACTATGGTAAAATACAGAGCATTTTACTTCAGACCGCTTTTATTTCCTTAGAAAGACCAGATATTAAACTTTTGAATTTGAAAGCCACTGATACTTTATAATGATTTAATCAATTGCGATAGAAATAGGCACCCATTAATCAGAGATTTGCAACTTGATTATTTTTCTATAGCTTTATATGCAAAGTTTTGCATTATGCATGCCTTACCGTTAAACGAGGCTAGTCAAAGAAAGGACGGTCAGTCCTCCACACATCCATATGCYTAGTTAACCATTATTTTTCGAGCTCGCAATGATTTCTRAGGATGAGAATAAGGGGGTTCCAGTTCGCTCTGGGTTTGAGTTTTTGTGGCGCTGACGTACAATAGGCGATTTGCACGAAAGCGTCACATACAACAAAGACCAGAATGYTTTGCCACTTTCTTTTGTAATGTAATTAGTCCAAATTGTTTAACTATAATCTCCAAAGCGATTAAAAATCTGAACGAGAATAGTCCAGTTTCGAATTCTCCAGTGCTCTGTGTTAGCCTCATTTGTGCGCAAAATATTCCTAATTGTGAGAATAAAAGTGTGAGATTTCAAATCAATTCCATTGTCTTTCTTTTCAAATTCCATGCGTTTTCTCAGGCTATCAATGAAACAAAAGAATATGTTACTTGGTTTTGAGGCTAACACAGAGCAAACCAGAACTCGAAATCGGAGTATCACTCCGTAGAACTTTTCATGACCGGTTTGACCAGTTAGCACCGCAGAACGGATATCTTCGACAAAAAGGTATTGCTCAAAAAGTAACAATATGTCACGCACATATAAACTCTTCTAACATGATCTGAAAATTCTTGTATACTGATTTTATTCTGTGTGAGTTGGAAGGTCAAAACACAGTACAATTCATATCCTGTATGTCTTACATCTAAAAACACANAAAGGCTTGGCTACCTTTCAAGATGGCGCCTGGAACTGTAAAATGGAGTATTGTATCGATAGAAGGCGCGGTTCATCATAACACAAATTTTCAGTAGTTGGTCCTTGGATTCAGGCCATCATAGCCTCCTCCGCAGGCATCACTAAGAATCACGGGCTTCCTGTCTTTTTGATGAGTCAAAAGAGGGAGAATGGGGGCGAGAAAAGGGGCTATCTCGTCACTAGTCCCTAACGGCCAAAATGACCGTTACAAAGGAAGCCCAAAGGAGGAAAAAAGAGTTGCCTGTGGAGGAGGCTAAGGCCATCATAGCATGGGCTTTATTAGTTGGCGTGAATCGAACTACAATCGTAGAGAAATCGTCAAGCGCTCGGACTGTAACGTGGAAAAATACAGTCACTGCATTTTTAGACCGCGTCCCAGTCCTCTGGAATGGTCACGGTACAATAACAAAGGAAATACAAACGGCATTGTGGTAGTAGTAGTAAAATGTTGCCATTAGCATATCGACTGTTCTTGGACAAGGTGTTGTATATTTAGCTCAACAAAAAACCGCAGGGTTAGGGTTTAATAGACTATGTAATAGTCTATAATTCCAGTCGAAGATTTGCTCAATTTTAGAACAATTTGTTGTTTTTTAATTTAATTCATGTTTTGCTTGGCTAGCCTGATGTAAGAACAGTATACAATGTAATCTACAGAAAAATATCCCCGAGAAGACTTGATTAGTATTTGKCATAAGGAATTATAGTAAGTTAAGTATTCTTACCTACAAAGTCTAGTTTTGTTTCRCATTGGTGAGCAGTGTCGGCTGTCAGAAGTCAGTATAGATGCCAAAAGACTTTGAAATCTACAGAGTTTACGGATATGAGTTGAATAATAATGTAATAGCCCGCCTCAGTCTGTTCATGGCTGTRTAATATTCTGAGATCAGGCTGTTACTCTTGGAAGTATTGAATTTCGACAAAAGGGCAAAAGTCATTTGAATTTAAACAGGAAGCCCAATCTACAAAAATCGAGGGAATTTATATAAAGMGMGTTTGTATGGGAAATAGATATTTGATAATGTACAGTGTATAGGACTGCATGCGATAGGGCAATAACCGGCTTTCGAATTTTATCTCAGTCACTCGTGAAAAACTTTGTCTATTTTACGAATAAGTCTCACGATTCCTTCCTTTTGTCGAATGCCGCGGATCGGATAATTCGATATATAGTATTTATCTTGGTTTCGTTATTCTCAAGTGAGGAAATAAGAAGAATTGTATGAATTTTTCCAGTATTTTAGGGCTATGGACTATTATTTTTTACTAAAACAACCTAGTTTTCTACGACACCAGGTTAACGGATACAGTAAAAATTGAATGAAAACCACCGTTATATATATATGTATRTATATACTTTACTAAAATAATWGATGTTTATTGATTTTCATCTGCAGTTTGTAAGTTGTGCGTCCTTGGGATTCAATAATACTGTAGAAGAGCCGTCAAGCTCTGAGATATGCGCACCTGTCTTGTGTAATATTAGCATATTTAAATTCGGACTAGTTCTTATGAGTTTTTATGTTTATGCTATAACGACCATGGTAACACATAGAACAAGCATTTGGGTCTRTSACAAATCTGYTCTTTTTTGATTCTGATACTGATTACAATGTCCCTGAAATTCAAAGCAAAACAAATGGGAATTTACCACACTTCAACTCYAGTTTTTAACAAACGTTTATTCAAAGCACAAGCTGGAATTGTYTTAACGGAAGAAGTTCTGAAAATCCTCAATCGTCCTAGCCGCCAAGAACGCTCAAAGACCGATCTTCACAAGCTCAAATCGGTGGTAAATGGCCTTAAAGATGTGCATAAAGGTTTCCAGTTTGTAAAAGATGCACTGAGCATTGTAATAGGCTATGAAAAAGTAGAAGCGAATGTAGAAGTGAAAAAGCAGTCGACGGAAAAAGGACTGTCGTGTTATTATATCCTTACCGGGTCAATTGAAGCGACTTATGACATAAATAACAGCGATTTCGAAGAAGAACGAAAATTGGTAAGCACTGGGTTTACGACTTTGAATGGAGAAAGCCAAAACAAAAAAACTCAGAATGGAAGCTACATTATTTCATATACGCATGTAGCCGGCGATTATCTGGGTCTAGTCTCAGGAGACGGACCAGAATACGATCTACCTCCTCCAAAATCGATCAAAACACTCGAAATGAGTGAGTTTTTGCGAATTGACCGAGGCAAATTTCACGATGCTGTCCGCGTGGTCCACAATCAATATGTACAAGAAGTTGAGCATTTTATCAACAGTGAAAGTATTCTACGACATTTACCTGAGAAAGAACGAGAGAAGCTTGTCCCTTTGATGGCCAAACAGGTAAAAATCAATTCACTGACAAGTTTGTGTGATAACTGGTTAATTGACTTTAAATATCGGTAGTATTGAAATTACTTTGAGAAATAACAACATGATTTCTTTTCCAATCAATTTCGAGTGCTGTTCAATCTGATTATTAATTTAATGAATCGCAAAAGCCAATTCGCTGTGGGTTGTAAATTAAGACAGTTTATGTTTTTGCGCTTTCTTTAAGTGTGCTGAAATCGATAGTAAAACCAATATCATGCATTGACATTCTCTAACTCCACTTTTTGTCAGTATTTCTTGCCGATGTTTTTACCGTCAACAGTGAGTTTCGTCCAATTTCAGTATTTATAAAAGATATTATTACATTACATTATTTTTTGCGGACTCCAGTCCAGTGATGGCACCTATTTTTTATATGGCATGTATCTAAAACTTGCTTGATGAATTATTGATGTTTCATTTCTTTGTTGATGAATTTATAAGCGTTTCATCATAATATTTTCTTAAACATTGTTCATGTGAATCTCGCCGAGGTACGCAGCCTGTCGAGTCTTTCAACGTAGTCAAAATAGCTATTTTTTTAAAGCAATTTCGACGAAAAAACGCGAGATCAATACTAATTTTAAACTAGACGGTTTCAGAGCTCTAACTGGAGAAGTTTCGTTTTGTCTTACAATTTATTTCTATAATATAGAATTTTTCACCTTCGCAAAGTTTATTTTCATTTTTATATGCCAATGGCCTTGGAATTAGTTGTAAATTTTCCTTTCATAGACAAATCTCGAATCTCTACGGCTATAGGTAGTCTCGATATGATGTGATCGACAATTTATCACTTTATTGGCTTCAATAGGAGTATCCAGCCGGTAAAGTGATTGTAAACCAAGGAGATGTTCCTGACCATATATTCTTTATTGGAAAAGGTAAGTGTGTATGGCTATTGCAGTCTTATTAAAATGCTTGTTGCGTATGAACCCATTCTCATGACAGCAACCGTTGTGAATTTGACATTTTGAATATAATTAATGCAGCGCTATCCACATGTAAATCTTCTGAAACGTAACAGACTGTTTTCAGGTCCCCTGGACATCACTCATTGTAATTTGGTTGCAAAATAAAAACATAAATCAATCGATCAATCAATGTTACCTGTTACCTGTCCTCCTCGTGCCGTGTGGCACATAGGGTCTTTCCACTTTTCTCCATGTCTGCTGCTTTTGACCGCACCCCATCCCACACTCCTCATCCCAATTCTTCCTTATTCTTCAAATAAATAAATAAATATATGACTTTTGTTAACTTTTTGAGTTATTAACGCCTAAGTGCACCTTAAAAATATAAATATATTCTAAATGATCCCTAAAACAYAATTGTATTGCGTTTCAGGTCGATGCCAATTTTTTCGACGCGTTTTTATAAATGAAGCCCATCGACAAGAGCTTGTTAAACTTGGTCAAATCGAAAAAGGTGCGCTCGTAACAGACTGTTCAAAAAGAATGCTTTATATTTATTTTTTAAATTTGTTTTATTTATAAATTCTAATGTATATATAATAACGAAGAGGCAAGATTTGATCTGTCTGATGAGTGCGTAGCACGAAACTCGGAGTAACAGCAAATCTTGCCTCTTCGTTATTATATATATTACTTAGCGCTAGCTCTACACTCTTTAATGGGATTAACTACATCCTCATATGATTAAATTCTAATGTACAAATTTTAGGACATAGGGGCTTATGTTGTCTTGTCAAGACGGTTGACCCTTTTTGATCTCAGTAGTATCATATCGGTTATATTTCAGGGGAAATGTTTGGCGAGTCAAGTCTATTGGATGGTTCTCCCTGCTTCTGCAGTGTGACAAGTATCGGGCAAGTTACATGTTTTCTTATCAACAAGTAAGTCATTGCTCAATTANGGTTTCAAGTCCGCGCAATTAGTTCCAGTCCGAGGCGTTAGGACTTGAAAATTGCAAGGACTTGAAATTGCAAGGACGACTTGAACGACTTCTCATACTCATTAATTATTCGGGAGGGGAAAAAAGCGAAGAAAATACATATAACAGAAATATATTGATTTATTGCATCTCCACCAAGGTTTTCAGTTTTCATAATTTTGAATAAAGAAACACCTTTTGTTGTTTTCCAATTCCCGAACGGCTTTCTGAAACAAAAGCTTTTCAAATTGTCTTTGTTTGCTTTTCATGGCATTCCTAATGAGCCTAATTCATAAGTTTTATAAGTATGTTATCTTCCAAGGAATCGCATCAGAAACTCGGTGGTGTAATGGTATAAGACGGTGCATATAGATTGGACGGTTCGGGATCGTTTCGTGAGGGAGTCATTTATCAAAGACCTTTTTTCACTAAATTAATTCTATATTAAGTTGATTATTTCTAATTCTTTGATTATCATTAGCYWGTAGTAGTTAGAAAAAGCTAGAAGTAACTAGAATCAAGGTAAGAGTAACTGGAAATAAGATAGAAGTAACTACTAGAAACAAGGTGGAAGTAACTGGAAATAAGATAGAATACAAGGTRGGAGTACTTCCTCTRKTATCCAGTTACTGCACGTGGTACAAATTACAATCAGGGATTGGCTAGATACCTCATGAATAATTAATGWGTATGAGAATGTCTTTTAACATCATTTGTTTCGGACTGCATTCGCATTATATTCAGAGATGAAAGGTCGCTTCGCATTTCAGAAAGAAAAAAAGAACAAGTATATTTTAAATAAAAAGAAAGAAAGAAAKAAAGAATTGTTAAGAAGGTGGTCGAGTCGAGAATCGAACCCGCGATGGTCAGTTCAAAGGCGCTTTTCAAGTATGATCTTGCGTGTAAAATAGTTTAGAAGTCGGTCCGTGTCGATAATAATCAAACAAATATCTACTGGATAAAACATAACTAGAATAACTGTATTTCAGTTCAAAAGAAAGAAAGAAAAAAATATTGTTTTGAAAAGTGCTCGAGTCGARAATCGAACCCGCGATACTCAGTCCGACGCCGCTATTCGAGTATGATCTTGTGACTAAAATTTGAACTAGAACTATATTTCGGCGTATTTCAGTTAAAAAGAAAGAAGAAAAGAAGAAAAAGAAAATACTTTTTTTTATACGTGATCAAGTCGAGATCGAACCTGCGCTAACGCACTAGTCAATTGCGTCAAACGCGTTTTTATCGTGCTTTAAGAGAGTTTTAGATTCACGTTTACTTCAAACGCCAAACGTCAAATTGTCTTTCATGATTTGTCTCAAAATTTCAAACAAACGTAAAAACGCTTCGAAAGGAATGGCGATGTGCTTATGCACGAAAAAGTGATCTATTTTATACACAATCGCGAAAGAACGGAGCGTTTATACAGAAAAACAGTGATCACGTGATCAGATTTGACGTTTGTCGTTCGCCGTAAAGACTGACGTATCTAAAACTCTCTTTTAACAGCAAGATTGTCCCGGGGTTTTTTTGATGAATTGTTTTCGAAGTGGGGCAAAGAGAGGGGATTTTATCGCGCGTTTGAACATGTATGAGAKGTCAGCCATCTTGAGAAATACCCTAAAGGAAATGGTATTCAACCCCGCTTGTTTATTTGTTTATATTTCCTTGCATGAACAATTTTTAAAAGAAACTTATTACAAATGTTTTTCTCCGTCCAGTTAGCCTCATGTAGTACGCAAATGTGTAACACAGGATTATACAAAAACTAACCCTTTGTATCACAGAAAATTTGATTGAAAGGTGTTTGTTTTGTTATTTACTACTATACCAAAATAGCGGGGCAACAGTAGCGGGGATTTTAACAGTGAATGTGCCCCGACTACCGGGGGAAATTTAACACCACTCAAACGTTAAATTCTCCGCGGGTATTCCTMGGGGGACTTCAATTGAGTGCATAAACTGCGACGTGGAAAAAAAACAACGGTTCGAAAATATCTATCAAACGAATATCAACAGAAAAAACGACATCACTATAACACAACTATATTTCATGCAGTTAAAAAGAAAGAAAAACAAAGAAAATAAGCAATTGTTCGGGTCGAGATTCGAACCCTCGATCCTCTATTCGACGCCGCTGTTCGAGTATCGTCTTGTTTCAAAAATTTGACAAACGGTTTGTAAATATTAATAAAATATTAAAATTGCTACGATAAAAAAACTAACATGACGAGAACAAGGATCGAACCTGGAAACTTGAGAATGTAGGTCCCTTGGGATTGCTAAACTGCTACGTGGAAAAAAGGAAAAATATAAATCAAGTCGCTGCTGCATTTTATAACCGTGCCGCAGGCTTTCGGCCTGCTGGACACGGTAAAAACTTCTAAAACCATATTGCAATTTGCATTATTTGTGTAACATTTCAGATGGGTAATTAAGACAAACGAAGCTGTGGTGAATCTGCTGAGACAGCATGAACACATTTTTTACGAGGACGATATGATCCAACACTACATTCGGGATAGTGACGTTTGGCAAAGCTACAAGAGAAGCCARGTCATGGAGCTTCTTGAAGCGACAAACAAGCAATTCATTTCGGTGAAAAAGAAAGATATTCAAGAGATACTGGAAAGAGCGCTTGAGTTTGGAGATGCGAAGAGGTTTGTATCTTACTGTTGMGTATTCCATGTCAGGTTATACAAATCAATTTTACCAAAATGACTTGTTGCATGTGATACGCTACTTGTAATACATTCTCGTGCTTTTGACGTTGCCGGCCAATCATAGTTTTTCTGGATCCATATATTTCCGTAATTTAAGAAMGATAATTGAATGCTGTTTTTATCGCTCTAGTCATTTTGATATGCATGCACCATATTCAATCAAGTATTCTACACGGATGTTTCTTTCCACAGATGCCATTCTTCAAGGGCGTGGTCCAGACAAAGAGAAGTAGGAGAGCCTGAGCGCAATGAGCCTTTGTTTGTAGTTCCGMGGTCTAGACGACGATCATCGGCTATACTTCACTCAAATGCTGCTGCTGTTGTAAAAGCTGTTCTTTTGCTCCGACGAAAAACAGACGAATCAAACGTTCAACTGCCCCCGCTACAGGCAAAGTCTCAGAGAATTAAGCCCGTCAGTGCACCGTGTAGATATCGATCAAAAMACATGTCAGTTTCGTGTTTTACGAATTATGATCGATTCACACAAGTGCAAATCTCTRAAGAAAACGCTAATAGGTATAGACCTAAAAGCAGTAGCGACTCGTACAGAATWGCAAAACGTCATGTCAACAACACAMAAAGCTGTAGCTGTCAGCGCTCAGCTTCTGAAAGACCTCGCTCTTCAAAGACAGATGGCATCGATAACCAGCGTACAGAAACATCCGTGTCAAATAGGGTTCTAAGTCTCAAAAATAAAAGAGATAAAGCTTGCTMGTCGTATGAAAAGAAAGACACCACGAGCATTGCTTCGATGGACAGTAAACAAACGAAGACCAATCATTATTACGAAAAGAAATCCGAAAATGCAACAGGCGTTGAGAAATGCATATCTTTAAACAAAAACTTTGTCATAAAGGAGATTATTAACACAGGAAACCCAAATCGCAAAACTTCGCCAAATCAGTATCGGAGGTTTGACAAAAGTATGTTTKCAATTCTTGACGGTGCGAAAGATGAAGAAACTGGTAAAAGGGTTGGACCGAGTCCTTGGGGAGTATCGCTTGCAGCAAGTAAATGGATGACAGGAATCAGGCAAAAACGGAGACAAGCGGCAGCGAACAGGGATGGGAACATGATTCTCTCTCCAACGCCTCCACCATTGATAGTAATAGAGGAATATGCACCTCAATATGGATTAACTGATGAGGTTATCACCAACTTGATTATTAACAATAATAATAATTTAAACTTTTTGCTATTTTKTGAATAATACTTTTACGTACGTTTCATTGAATACTCCCTTAATGTTGAAAGGTAGCCAAGCCTGTATGTTTCAAATAGAGAAAACGATTGGGTCAGCAATCATAAATACCTGTGAATAATTGCTTTGGTTGTTAATAAAAGGTATCTAGCACTGCTAACTCAACAACTGTCTCTCTCCCATCCCCTGTTAGTAGTCAAGCTGTTGGCGCTTGGAAATGTAAAATCACAAGTTTTTTCGCGAAACTCCATGCTAAGTTATCTTACAAAAGGCGGATAAATTAATCTTAGAGACAATCTTAGAATGCTTTACTGTTTATAGAGGATATATCATGGGCGCGCGGAGATACGGATTTTATCTTCGAGTGTTGAAAAGATCTCTTACGAGTGAGCGTAGCGAGCGAGTGAGAGATTTTCAACACGAGATGATAAAATTCGTATCTCCAAGCGACCATATAATATTCTGTTTATCATATAATTACTTTTGAAAGCAAATTATGTCGTAAAATATATTTTTTCCTACTTTTACTATTTAGAGAAACCTCGAATGTGTTATTTTCACTAGTGAAAATATCAATTTTACGAAATGGAGAAATATAGGTATTTCATAGATAATTATATGATAAAATATATTATCTCATTTCTKTTTTTGTTATAGCCATTAGATGAAGATAGTTCAGACGATAATCTGAAGAAGAAAAGGTCGATTGCAAAACCCATGAGAACTCCAACGCCTTCCCTTGCGCAGCTCGACGAAGAAGACGATAATGACATCAAGGAGTATAATAAGCATGAGGCTGGAAAAGCATTGGAAGAAAAGTAAGTCGGCACGATATAGTATAGGAATGCATAAAAAGGACTTGCTATTGCAAATATTGATTTATCTGGGAAGATATTGTCTCAGAGACAGAATGTGAAGGGTGTATGGTATAATGACCTATATATATTAGGTTAAAAACGCCGACTGTCAACCTCCACGGATGTTTGCAGATGTTTGAATTTGTGGTTTGGTTCTCAGAAAATGTTTTCCACTCTTTTTTGGTCTTTCATTTCATTTTTTTCAGATGGTACACACCGATTCACGAGGCAAGAGACGAGTCCGAGATATTCTTGAAGCAACTGCAGGTTGATATTGAAAAACTCAAGAAAAACAGAGGAAAAAGAGCACCTGTTAAATTCGAAAACACGCGGGTAGCACACGCTCAAGATTTCTCTAACACATATTGTGATAAAGAATCAGACGACGAACAAAAAGCAACTGTTAACAAGAGTGAAGTGAGTCATGACATATGATAAAGTCAGACGATATATGATGGTTACTTTAGATTATACAAYAGATTTATGTTACCCTGGTCCTAGTTACTGCTAACTGGGAAACACTGCCCCCTGTATGTACTAGCAACCAGTTGTGACTTACATCTGGCTGGGACATAAGAATATGCCAGCAACCCGTTGACTACTACTATAGATTCATCGCATAAGTGAATATTCTATTATGAGGATATTGTTTTAATTGCATTTAATAACAGTATTCTGAGTGAGTTCTTTTTGACTGTGCAATCATAATCATAATTAGTTTGCTACTAAGAYATGACCTTAAGTACGATTTAAAGTTAATGATGTGTTGCACTYTTCCAAATTTAAGCTTGACACTAAATCTGTTATTTCCTTCTTTAGTTGGATAACAATTCAAGCTCAACTTCATCTAGTCACAGAATCCGAAAACATTCAACGCGTTCTGCAGCTACAGTATGTGTGAGATGCAGCTCTATATTGTCGTTGAGTATACAAAATGAATTTAATGCAACGAATATTAAGTTTTTCCGAAATAAATAAATAAAAATAAATAAAAAAATAAAAATAAAGAAAAAATAAAAATAAATAAAAATAAAAATAAATAAAAAATAAATAAATAAATAAATAAACTTTCAGTAATAAAATGAACCATATTTTTACTAGCTCGCTTTTCAAAAATTCAGAGTCTCGTAAAAATTAGTTACGATTTTTACAAATGTACTAGCTGTTATTATGTGAGCTACTGGCGGCGTATTCGTAACTAAAAGTGCGATATTTGAGTAGTCTTTCAAATTGCTTTGCATTTCTGCACGTAAAACAATCTGCCAATATAATGATAGATAGGATTCTGGCTATGAAGCTTCTAGGCTCTTGTATATAGCTATTTCAAAAAAGCATGTCGAGTGACATGACTGTTGTTGGATTCTATTTGGTAATGGGTTTAATTTACTATTCTTTCTGTCTTTAGTCGTCTACATTGGAAAGCAGATCAGATGTTGCGAGTTCGCGAAGTAGGAAATCTTCACGTATTGGAAGAAATGTGTGTATGAACAAAAGAAAATGCTCAATAKTATTACCTAAACAAGTCACTGCAGCACCGATTAAAACAAAGCACGATAAACGACGGCTTTTGCTACTGGACAAGATTGGTCTATAAACAACTTCGTAATAAATTAAAACAACTCAAGAAAAAACTACGCCGAGTAATTCTAGAGTTTTAAGTACCAACGTCCTACAAAGTATAACAAGACCGTTCAGAATGTTCAGACGGTGACGGAAGAGTAGTGAAGAAGACGAATAATTACGTTAATGTAATGCGTGTAGAAACTTTTCAGGTCCCGCACAATGGTCGTGCACGGACCACTTTTATATATGCACTAAGCTTTTRTGTTAATTAAAGTATAGACAGSAATGTTCCAAGAGAAATTCATTTCAAACTTTTCCRGTTATCTTTTAACGAATCTACATGACTCGAAATCACGATGATTGTTTTATGAAATATTCTAGGCTGGATGGAGAACTAGTCTAATTTAAACTCTGACTTTAGTAGTTAGATGGTTGTCGTCTTGATGGCCTTCAGCCCTTCTAACCACATGACCTACAACACAATTTTCTAATGAAAGAATGTTTGCAATCACCATCGCGTGTTAGAACGCCACAGCTGAGCTTTGATAACTTGTTTCCGAGACATCCTAAAAAGAAATGAAAAGTAAAAAGTTTTTATAAGACAAATCACAGTCTATTTTTTTCTGTCCTTCCAGAGCGAATCATGTCTAAAAGTTTGGAACTTTTGGAAAACAAATGCATGCAAACCAATAAAAAGAACAAATTCGAAAAATTAACCAAAAAAGATTATGTAATGAAGACGAATGAACGAACAGCAAGTGCTTACCTTGACGGCATGGTGGCTTTGCTTTACTCGGCCATTCACAACGTTTAACACTGTCACTCCATACCAGTCCCTTTGGGCACGGCCTCTTGTAAACAATTCTACTATCAACACAGCTGATGTACCCGTTGCAGTTGTCAGGGTCTGGATAGTTGCCATCGCCTTTACCACTACAATAATTACCTAAAACAGAAAATACRAGTTTTTTACAATTCATTTTTTGCTTTCAAATTTCTGCCTGTTTTGGGAAGTAATGATCAGTAAAAAAATAGACTCGTTTCGCGTGAAATATTTACCATGTGGTCGTACACTGCACATGTTCGCTCCAGGCTCAGTTAAAGTCGAGATGAATATTCGCCGAAAGTCACATCGCCAAATCACCAGATTTTTTGAAATTGTTATTACGACGTACCGAGTTAAAAACGGGGTTCATATTAACCTTGAATTCTCTAACCCATCAGTTCATTAGTAAGTCAGTTTTTAGATAAAGTTTGTTAAGCATGACGAAACTATGTGTGTTTTATAATATCAAATAAGACTTCTTATAAATCGCAGAAAGAAAAAAAKACGTTAGACAAGACTTCAAATATCATCACGAACACACTCTACGAGGATATAAAAACGTAGACATAACTGCAACGATATTTTCGTTATGTTATTAAAATTCCCTAAAATGATCTCAATTGAAAAAAGTTAAACTGAAAATTGATTTTGACTGTCATTTGTTATGAAGTTTATTGGCTTGATGTTGAATATTCTTGCAAAGAAATTAGAGATATGATATATGCAAATGACTTAGCAACTGTCGTTTTGCCTTTACAACCGAGCAACGTTGACTGTATGCTGTTTTTCGCAATACAGGTGGCCATAAATAATAGTGTATTGACAAAGTGCGTTCTCGTTGGTTAGTGATACCTCTTGTGGTGATCATTAATGTCAAGTAAAACTACAAGCGAAAACTCACCAGCATTYCCCTCCTGAATCAACGAATTAGCAATCACTGCTGCTAAAACTAGCAAAAAGATCGTTCTTTTCATCTTTTCAACGTCTTGATGTCGTAATTCCACTTCCTCCTAGCTACAGTGCGTTCAAGCTTTATATATGCAAAACCAACATAAGTCATATCTATTTTTTAAACTCACTGAACCATTTATAACTAAAAATAACTCAACCTTTTAATTTCACAACTAATCATTATTTTAATACCTGTTATATATAGTCAATTTTAGATTTCATGAATGTTAAATGAATCTATTATATATGATGCTTCCAGAAGCATCGCATATATTCCACAGGTACTTGTTGGTTATTGTGGCGACATAATAAATAATGATTAACAGATTAATTACTAAAACGATTATTTTCTACAACGTACAATGTTTAGTTTTCACTGCAAGTAACCCAAGTTGACAAAGCGAATTTTCTATCTTTCTTTTCGGTTGGTGTGTGATTAAGGTGGAGKGTATAAGGGTGGTATATGTCATTACTGTTAGAAAACGTGCAACTTACTCTTTAGCTCGTCGTCATCAATCAAGAGCCTAATGACGCTTGTTCGCTTGACCATAATATGGTAATTATTGTTTTTGAAAGATGTCAGCTAAGCGGCTATAAATAATATAGTAACACCTAATTTCAAAACTCCGACAAAAAGAATTGTACCTCAATGGAATAGTTACGGATCCCGTAAGGAATCATATCTTTGTCGCTACCATGTCAAAACTATCTCCACGTATAGCCATTGCTACTAAGTCAAAATTTATGTCCTTCATAAAGGTTCCCACTCACATTTTATAATTTTTGAAAAAAATATGACATACTAGCCAACTAGATCAAGTGCTTAAGTCATGCAAAGACATGCGAATGTTTATCCAGCGCTAAAAATAATTATCCCTTCAAAATGAAGACTGAAACAATGGTCTAATTATAGGCTGCTGCATGGGGCAATAATAAATAGTTGTGGTAATGGTTGAAGGGGGAAGGGGGTCTGATACTGGGAGGGTTACAAATTTCACTTCCACAACTCTGGTATGWCTGTATTTTTCGCAACAAAAATTTGACTGCCTGACGTTTAGTTCTGGGACTAAACGTCAGGTAGTCGAAAAAACTCAACATGCCGTGATTGTGTTTGAACCACAGTGTTATTTCGGTCTTTCTTGCMTTTCTCTTGTTGTATTAATTGAAATTACAGTTGTTCTGACGATCGATTTTTCAAAAAAAATTCGACGACTGCCTGGCATTTAGCTCTGGAACTAAACGTYAGTCAGTCGAAAAATCTTAAAGTGCCGCGTGTTTGTGTATACAATAGACCTAATCGGCTTCAACCCAATTCAAACCACCCGGGAGTAAGYTTCATTGTTCGTTGTATTGTTGAATTCTTAGAAACAAAAGTTCTTTTCCCCACAGGATTTGAATTGGGTGGCAACGTACATAGCAACGCCGTTAGCCGATTAAGTCTATTGTCGAATAGTATTATTTTGGTCTTTATTGCATTTCCCTTCTTGTATTAATTGAAATTACTGTTGTTCCGACAATTTTTTAAGAAAAAAATTAGACTGCCTGACGTTTAAACACTTCGAAAAATATAACTGCATAATCTACTTACCTGATGGAACTTTGCATAAATTCAAATGTCTGAAGACTGTGTTGATTTAGTGAGCTTGTCTTCTAGCTGATCAAGAACCACCGTGTATAGGCTACGTTAAGTGTGGAAATTTGCAGTGGAAAATATTTTTTCCAGCGCCGTGATTGCGATTTGATAGATTCTGCCTATAATACAGTTAAGGTATTTCGATCGTAATAAATAGCGCTTCACGTGTATGTTTAAACTCCAACTACGTCGCCAAGTTCGCGGATTTGACTGCACTCAAATTTTCATAGAAGTAACCACAGGCTTACCAGTCTCTGAGGAGTTACGGGAGATGGGCTACCTGTGGCGACAAACTTAACGGATTTTCACATGTAGTCAAAATATCGTTTCTAAACCGTATCTTTTCATTCTTGAAATATCAAAAAACTTCAATAAAGATGGTTCAATAGTTTATGAACATTTTTGGAGGGGTTATTTTCGATTTTGATGCTGTTTTAGTGTGTTTTGGGAGGGTTAGATTTCGACCTTCTCCAGAGTGAAGAGAAAAGGGTTAAAGGCTGGCAGCCGATCGCTCTCGGCCGGCCAACTGGTCAACTTCAACGCCGAATTTTTCCACCTTACGCCGGTCCTACAAAATCAAGCTTTTGGTATGCTGCAGGATAATAATTTTCCTACATCCTCGCCAAATTTCAGCTTCCAACGACCAATATCAACTGAGAAAATCGACCGCGAAGGTCAAAAATCCACCTTGTAAATATGATATGCACAAATTTTGAACTCAAAGGAATGTGG